TTACCAGAGGAACGGTCAAATGTATCGTGTTAAAACTCTAAAAGACAAGGAAAAGATGAGTAAACCCAGAAGGACACAGAAAATTCTTTAAAATGTACCAAGTTCCAAGAGACAGTTGCAGAGTGAACTGTAAAATAAACACCTTAATTCTACAGAACTTTTAAAGGTCTGGAAGGAAGAAGAGGAAGCAGTCAACAGGGTTACCTATGGAGGGAGAGGAGATGGGGTGAGTGTGAGGGAGACGTGGGGTTTATGTTTACTTTACTATTAGATGGTTATGTATTTTCCAGTGAACACATTTGTGTATCGGTTGTGCAGTCTTAGAAAACAGGGGCACCTAGGTGGCTAAGTCGGTTAAGCATCTGGCTCTTGATTTCAGCTCAGGTCATGATCTCGTGGTTTGAGTTCGAGCCCCGCGTTGGCTCTGTGCTAACAGTGCAGAGCCTGCTTGAGGTTCGCCCGCCCTCTCTCTCTCTCTCTCTCTCTCTCTGCCCCTCCCCTGCTCTCTTTCTCTCTCTCAAAAAATAAATACACTAAAAAAGAAAAAAAAGAAAACAAAAAATCCCTACCACTTGTGCCCTGAGGGAGAAGCTTCTCTTCTTGCGATTATCGGATGACTGAGAATATAGAATCAGATTTATCTTGTATCCCGGCGGATACTCAGCCCCATAGTTTGGAGCCGGAGTTGGTGAGGACTGAAGAATGACGCACCTGGGGTTGGGGTGGCGACAGGCAATCAAGCTAGAAGAGGTCACCCGGGAGAGTTCTCTTTCCAAAAAAATCAATCCCGTCATTGTTAGTCCTGGGAACATCTGGATTTGACCGCCAGCTCCACTAATGTGAGTGGAGGTTCAGACACAGTTCTCTGGGCATGAACTAGGCCCCACTCTCGGCATCTCCTCTGCAGGGTCCTGCACCAGCATAATCCCCCTGCTGCAGGGCTGACTTCCTGGATTGGTGGGTTTGGGAGTGGACTGGGCATGCACCGGCCTGCTCCCTGCTTCCCCAGAGGGAATAAGCGCCCCCCATCCCCCCAGGGAGCAGAGGTCAGTCCTGCAGGTCCCCGCCGCCTGTGGTGCTGGTGGAGGAGCGGGGCTTGGCCAGAGCTGGACGTGACTGGGTAGTCACATTTCTCGAATTCCAGGATTTAAACGCAGGACGCCCATCTGTCTACAAATAAAATCCACATTCTCCCGTATAAGCTTCATCAGAGTTGACGGCAATATTGTCAGCTCCTCTTTCCTTTGTTCTTTTGTCCTACTTTTCAAGTGGTTCAGAACTCAGGGGTCAGAAGAGTGTTATTTACTGAGTCCTGAACTTTCAACAGCGAGAGAGGCTGCAGAGGCCAGATTCTTAACAGCCAGATTTAAAAACCAGTATCAAATGTACTAAACTTTATGGATACCAGCAGTGTTGTGATGGGCCCGGCCCAGCTCCTTTACAGAGGACAGTGAATTCAAACGCTCAAGGTCGACCGACACTGAGGAGGAGCTGATCAAGGATCACGCTAAAAAGGAAGCTGATTCATGCCTACCTCTTTATCTTGAAACTGATGGCATTCTGTTCGGACCTAGCATAGAACTTACGGTCCTGGCAAGTAAGAAAGCGACGCTTCTCTTCTCAATCCTACTGTTCGACCGACCGCGAGGCACCCCTCTACACTGCACCCTCATTTCCTCTCCATCCCTTATAAATCTGATATTATGTATGGACTGCAGACATCTTAGTCCACCACTGTTAAACTTTTACAACAATGTTCTACTTTTGCAATGACTCATATCCACTCTTTATCGTCTAGAGAAATCTATGGGAATAATAAAAGACTGTTTGTAGCTTTTATTGTCTGTTCCTAAGTCAGTGACTCAGAGGAAAAAAATGGTTAGGAAGTAAGACAAGCAGAGCTCATGATCTCTCCTCTGGTTTCTAAGGCCTGGAATCTCTACCTTAATACAACTATAAGCAGGAAGGACGGTAGCAGTAGTCTGTTGACAAAAAATTAATGTCTCATGGGACAAAATATCAGATATGGTGTGCCTCCCTCCCTTTTTTAAACTGCTCTTTATTAACATGATATCCATTTTAAATAAGCCGGATGCATCACTCTGACAACAGAAAATGGAAATATAAGGATACCTGTATGTGTAGATAGGATGGGATTTTATAACACAGACCTGAAAAACACAAAGTATTTGCTGAACTAATAAGTGTAAGGCAGAGAGGAAAGGAGTGGCTCTATTAGACACAGATCCTGCTATGCTAATTACTGCCAGAAAGCCATCATTTTTGGTAAGCTCTGCTCTTAGCTGACTTACAGCTAAGCATACAGGGTACACACAGGGTCAACTCAGTCAGTCCTCAGGGATGTGGCTTGAAGCTCCTCATCCTGGAGGGCCCTAAGGGAAGTAAAATTTTTTTAAATGGTTATTTATTTTTGAGAGAGAGAGAGAGACTGTGTGTATGTGTGTGTGAGTGGGGGAGAGGTAGAGAGAGAGGGGGGACAGAGGATCCGAAGTGGGCTCTGTGCCGAGAGCAGACAGCCCTAGGCGGGGCTCGAACTCATGAACCGTGAGATCATGACTTGAGCCAAAGTTGGACCTTTAACCAGCGGAGCCACCCAGGCGCCCGGGGCAGTTAATTTTCTGAAACTCCGATGTCTCTGCGTGCTTTACTGACATTTAAAAATGGTGGATTCTCCACCACCACACACTCACAAATGGCTGGTTCCCGAAGTTCTCTGCAGGCTACAATCCCCGGGGCCGCATCCTAAAGCACAGACTGTGCAGCTTCTATAACCACGTGCCCATGTGTGGTGCAGCCACCACAACCAACGGCTCTACAAGACTTCTGTGAGCAGCTGGGTGATGGGATCAAGGACACTTGCTCTCCACCATGTTACTGTCCTTTCTGTGAAGATCCACAACAAAGCTGACAGTCTAAAGGGCACAGAGAGTGCATCAGTGGCACAGGAATGGTCTGTTTGGGGAACGTGACTCGCGGGGACTCACTTCGCTGCTGGGCTTCCTAGGTTGCGTGTGCAGGCCGTATGTTGTCTTAGATGCAGTGAAATACACAAATATATGCAATAAACATTACATAAGCATCTCTCTTTCCTCCTAAGTATATCATGTAACTGCTCACGTGCCCCTGTTGCACGGGCCGCTAGGAAGCTCAGAGCTGGGTGTGTGCCTGCTTCTGCGGCCATACAGCAGCTTCTGTTGTATGTAGTAGCCACGGCTTACTTGTGTTGTCCTACCCTCGTTTTCTCTTAACCACCATTTCTGCCCCTCTCCCCGCCACCCCGACCCCAGCATTACTGAGACGTAGTTGACATATAATACTGTGTACTTTTAAGGTGTACAAAGTGATGAATTGATACATGTATACATTGTGAAATGATTTCCACAACAAGGTTAGTTAACACATCCATCATTTCACATACTTTTTTGTGTGTGGTGAGAATGTTAACATCTACTTTCTTAGTAACCTTCCAGTATATAACACTGTTAACTATAGCCACCATGCTATCCATTACATACCCAGAACTTATTCATCTGATAACCAAAAGTTACACCCTTTGACCAACATCTCCCACCTCCCCCACCTCCCAGCCTCTGGCAACCACTACTTTACTTTCTGTTTCCGTGAGTTCTAACCACAATTTATTTCTTTCCAATTTCTCATATTTGTGTTTTCTCAATAGGCTGCTTCAAACCGACTTGAGAATGAGGTAGCTTAGAAATTTTTTCTTAATAACTAAAAAAGTCTCTGTTTATGAAGACCCTAATATTAATGTGCAGACCCTTCTTCCCCTTAATTAAAAGCTGTGGCTCTGACCCATGGTGGCGGGGGGGGGGGGGGGGGGGGGGCGGCGGCTCGGGATCCCCTGGTGCTTTCTTCTCAATTGTACAGATCTGGCTCTACCATTCAGCCTGGGGCCCAGGCAACAGGCTGGGGTGAGCCTCAGGAACACAGGTTCGAGACCTTTGAAAACATCCTGAGGAGACATGGGTATACTCATTGTTAAGAACCCCAACTCAACACCATCTGCCTCCAGATGAGCTATATCTTAAGAAGGACACGATATCACCTATGCAATATTTTGCCTTGGGATGCAAACCCTGAATCGAATCGTGAGAAAATATGAAACACAAAAAGAGAAAAGTCCTGTTTTTTTAAACAGGGGAACAACTGACAAAATTGGAAAATGCACAGATTAAGTAAGAGTATCATAAAATATTAAACTTACTGAAGTGGATCCTTGTACATGAGAATACTTCTAGTAAGAAATTAACTCTACACTGAAGTATTTAGGAGTAAAAGGCCATGGTATATGTAATTTATTCTCAAATGGCTCAGAAAGCAGACTGTGTGTGTGTGTGTGTGTGTGTGTGTGTGTGTGTGTGTGTGTGAGTGTGCCTGTGTGTGTCCGTGTGTGTGTAGAGAAAGTAAACAAATGGGTAAAATGCCAACAGTCACCGAATCTGGGTAAAGGGTATACAAGTGTCCTTTGTGCTATTTTTGCGATTTTCTCTAAGTTTGTAGTTATTCCAAGGAAAAAGTTAAATGAGAAAAAGAAGAGAGTGCCTGCTTCGACTGTATAGCTTCCAATATGGCAGTAATTTCTTAAAAAAAGAAAGAAGTTTCCTTCCTTTCCTATTGATTTGATAACTGTTACCAGCCCTTGGCACCAAAGGGCTCCAAATGGAAGAGCAGACCGTGCCTCTCTCCCACCACGCCTAGGAGGCCAGCTCCCAGCTGCTCCCTCTTCAAACACAGCGTCCTTTTCCTTCTGGGAGTTTACGGATCCCTGAAGCCAGCTGAAATGCAGATTCCTGAATGTTATTTTCCCTCGCCCTTTCATTTTTTGTTGTTGTTTTTGTTAGGCTAAAGTCTATTAGATCATGATCTGAGCTGAAGTTGGATGCCCAACGACTGAGCCACCCAGGCGCGCCTAGGCTAGTTTTAAATTCGGGGCGCAGACCCGGGGCACAGAGCCTTACCGTCCCAGGCCGCGTGAAGTCCACGCTGTGGGCCAGGCTCTGTCGCATCTGGTTACTGAAGAGGCGGACGCATACGCTCTGCAGGTACTCCGGCGTGATCTGCAAAGAAGACAGGAGGGCGGCTGGTGAGAGGCACAAACTCCCCCCTCCCCCAGGGACAGCAGGGGCCCCAGCAATGATCAGAGCTGTCCCTTGCTGGGCTTTCTGGAAGGTACAGAGATGGAATTTTGTGTTAACCCAGGGGTTCTTGGGCACTAAAGCCCTGAGCCTGACAGAAAAAAACTGCTAACGTGCTACAGGTATGATCACGGCCTGTCATATTTTAAATTACCTAATTCCAGTAGATGTACTCCCACTGTCACGCAAAAGGAACGGACTTTAAACCGTTTGTGCGGGCGTGTATGAATTCAAGCAATCAAGTCAATCAGGGGGCCAACAGTGTGGTAGAAAGAATGCTAGCCTTCAAATCTAAAGATCTGGGCTCAAGTCCCGGACTTGGGAAAACCAGCAGCTCCGCCCCTTGCCTTGTGACCTGTCGAGTGAAATGAACTATGTCTGCCTCTGTGGGTCATGGTGACAGGGTGAACGAGACGACACGTATGCCTGGCACATGCCAGGTGGCTGGGTACGTGCTTACTGAATGGATGACGGAGGCACTTGTATCGAGTGCCTGTGGGCGGGAGTCTGCTGCCGTCCCGTCAATGCCACTCTATTCTGGCCTTTCTGGCTGCTTCTCTCACCGGCTCATTAGCTACTGTGACTCAGGACTGGCTTACAGCCTCTCAGGTAGTAATCTCAGGATCTGTTCTTTTTCATTTTACATCTTTTCTTTTTATAAAAAGAATGCACCTTCCAAATGCGCAAGTGTCCCAACCTCTCCCCAGTCCCATCCTTCCCTACAAACCAATCCCTGGAGGTAACTATTAACCGCTTTGCTCTCTTCCAGGCTTTTTTCTATGCCTGACAGTGGGAGGGAAACCTCCCTTTCCTCAGCCTCCTGAGGCCGAGTGGTGACCCCCCCCACGGTCACGTGACTGGCCGCTACCCCACCCTTACTCAGCTGTCCCCACGTGAGGCCCCCTCCACCCATTCATGGGTTAGAAAGCACCGGGAACGTGGACCGCATCCTCTCCTCTCCTTGGGGGACTCCATCTACCCACTGGAAACTTCTGGTCTGCTTCAGACACATCAAAGGCCCTGTCCATCCATGGCAGATGTCTCTGCTCATCCCTTGACACTCAGCTCTGTGCGAAGCGACTCAGACAAAGCAGCACCCCATCTCCAGGGGGCACGTCCCCCATCAGCCCACGTCCGTTTCCTCTGAATGTCCACAGTATCGAAAAGTAAAGGTTCCTTTTTCATCCTGTATTTTTAACCTTTCCTTTTACGACTTTTCATTATCTACAACCTAAAAACACATCCAAATATATTTCATATTTAAAAAGTACCTTCCCCTTCCTCCACCCTAGGTCTCCACCTATCAACCACCCTCCCAGTATTCTTCCTTCACAGCCAAGGTGCTCGAGAGAACAGCCCACATTTCCTGTCTCACTTCCCCTGGCCCTCCCAAAATGCTGCAATTAGGCTTCTAGACGCATCATTCTGTGGAAACTTACGTGGCAAAGGCCATCACCACTGACCTTCTATTATGTCAAAATCATTGGGCACTTTTCAGTTCTAGTCTTCTAAAGTATTCGGTGGCTTCCGAGACTTTGCATAAACCCTTTACTCCTGAAACTGTTTTCTCCTTTGACTTCTGGAACTGCTACCAGAACCAATTCTTTAACAAGCAAATTTGACTATGTCACTTTCTTGCTTAAAACAGGTGATGAGGAAAGGACACAAATAGACAGTAGACTAAGTATAAAGGGCCAACAAATATATGAAAATATATTCAGCCTCATGCATAATTAAAGAAATGTAAATTGAAACATTCAGAACACCAAGTTTTACTTCCCAAACTGGGAAAGAGTTCAAAGTATAATCGTGTCTAGTGTTGGCAAGTGTGTGGAGAAATAAACACAGATACAGATAAATCCCCAGGGATTTGGGTAGACGTCGCTGAAGTCTCAGGAGAAATCATTTGGCAACATTTATCAAAATGTTAATGCCCATAACCTTTGACCTAACTATTCCACACTTAGGATCTTACCTTACCTGTTTTCAAAGGTAGACAGTATATAGAAGAATGTTCATTGGCACATTTTTTTGTTATAGCAAACAAAATCTATACGTTTACCATCAGAGATCTGACGGATTATAATTCGCTCTTACAATGGCATAATGTACAAGCCTACAAAGGAATGAGGGCTATGTGGCCATGTGGAAAGATCTCCAAGATATACCGAAAGTAAAATAGCGAGTTTCAGAAGAATAATGGGTCATATGATCCCAAGTATACGTAGGACGCATGCAGACATGCACACACACACACGCCTATGCCTAGAAATGTTCTAAAATAAGACACAAGCAAATGTTCATCTTGAATACCAATAAAGAAGTGACACTAAGAAACCGTGTGGGAGGGGGCTTTTGCTCCTTACTATAGACTACTCTGACTTGTTCCAATTTGTTACCACAAACGTGTATTTTTTTTACATTAAAAACAAGCCAGTTATAGGGGGGCCTGGGTGGCTCAGTTGGTTATGCATCTGACTTCCACTCCGGTCATGATCTTGCGGTTCATGGGTTCGAGACCCGCGTCAGGCTCTGTGCTGACAGCTGGGAGCCTGGAGCCTGCTTCCTGCTTCCGATTCTGTGTCTCCCTCCCTCTCTGCCCCTCCCCTGCTCACGTTCTGTCTCTCTTTCTCTCTCTCAAAAATAAACATTAAAAACAAACAAACAAACAAAAACAAGCCAGTTACAAGTCTAGTCCCCGCCCCTGCCGCCCCGCCCCATCTCTCCCTGCCTGGTGGTCTGTGGGCCTCTCGCGCACTCCAGCAGGAGCTCACGTGCCCATCTCTGGTCACCATGCCACCCCTGATGTCACATCAACTCTGGCTGTAAGAGGCACACCAGGATTCTGGTAGCTATGTTTTAATAGGAGAGAAGGCAAAGGAAGGCAAATGCTTTTCTTTTTATTTATTTCTGTATTGTTTGAACCTCCTAATCACGGGCATGTCTTTGTCAACAGAGGTTATAGAAGCCATGTTTGTTTTCTTTCTGATACTTTTCTGCATTAATGTCAACACATGCTATTATTAAAACTGAAAAAAAAAAAAGTTAATTTAAAAAGTCCATTTTTTAAGGTATATATTTCAAAAGCCCCTCACTAACTACAGGACAAATCAAGGACTCCTAAGCATGATCTACAAACCTCCCCATGATCTTTACTGGCCCATCCTCTCTGCATCCTCTTTCAGCGTGTGGCCACCACCCTAGCTAATGGCCGTACCAGGCAACTTTCAGCAGTGTGCGGGCTATGATTTCACACGAACAGAGAGGTTTTCAGCGCAGGATACTAAAACATATTAAAAAGCTACTATAGTAAAAAACACAATGCATTAGTAGCTTAAGAATAGCCAGATCAATGGAAAAAATTAAAATCCCACTACATGATAAAGGTAGCCATTCAAATTAGTGAGGAAAGTAGTAAATAGTTCTGGCTCAAATGGTTATCTTTTTTTCTGGTGGGGGGGATAAATTTCTTTCTTAAATCATCTATCAAAATAAATTCCTTGTGGATTAAAGATTTAAAAGTAAAATTAAAACAAAACAAAACAAAACGACCAACAGAAAAAAATTAACGTGAACATTCCAGCTCCTTTAGTGGGAAAAGCTCCTTTATTAACACTTTGAAAAGGCAGGATGAACGAAGGGAAAAACTGATAAAATGATTTGACAATATAAACATGTCAATTTTACTAACTTAAGAAACACTAATTTAAAAACCAAAAAGCAAACTAAGGAAAACATTTACCAAAGATGAATTCTGAATGGCCTGTGTCTTAACAGGGATGCCCACAGCTGTAGTCCTGATTTCCCCCAAACCTGCTCTACCCCAGGCCTTCCCCATCGTGGCCGGAGGCACCACTGCCCTCCCACAGCTTAGGCCAAAAACCTGGAGTCATGCTTGACCCCCAAACCCCCGCCCAGGTCCAATCCAGCACAAAACACTATCGGCTCTATCTCATAACACACCCAGAGGGGCACCTCTCTGGCTCTGGCTGCCATCACCACCACCACCACCACGTCTCCCCTCGTGACCGCAAGCCCCTCCTGCCGGTCTCCCTGGTTCCTCCAGGCCTCCGAGGACTGTTGTAAAACAAAGGCAGGTAATCCTTCCACAGCATGCCAGACCACGCCACCCCCCTATTCCGCTCCCCAGTTTACTCATAGTAGAGCCACATCCTAACGATGGCCCTCGGGGCCCTGACCTGCTGGGTGCCGCTCCCTGTCCTTCACTGGGAGAGGCACACGAGAGGCACGCTTCTGCTTTTGGTCCTTTGCATCCTCTTCCTTTGGCCTAGAATTCTGGGAGAATCCCAGAGGGCTGCGAAACGAATTCCCTTACCTCTTCCAGTGCAGCTCCCCCTGCCTGCCTAGTTAAAATTGTCCCCTGTCCATAGACACACGTACTCTGATCCCCTCCACCCTGTTCCTTTGTTTCCTCACAACGTTTGTCATTTTCTAACACACGACGATGTCATTTATTATCTACTGCTTATATTTACTATTTATTATTTTCGCCCCTACTGGAACGTATGCTCCCTGAGGTCAGGGATCTTTGTTTTGTTGTCTGATGTATCCCACAGGCCTAGAACAGGGAAGGCCTGGCACATAGTAAGCTTGCAATAAATCTGTATTCAATGAATGAGAGAAGCATATAAAAAACGTTCACTGTCATGTGGAAACAATGTGAGGTACATTTCAATTCTGAGACACTACTTCTCAAGGACAAATTTACAAATACAAATACAAATGTTGCAACAAATACAGGTGTCCTTTTAATACACAAAGACAGGACTGGCAAGGATATAAAGATAAGGACTCCCAGTGGAACCAGACCAGCAAAACCTTCCTGGAGCACCTTAGCACAGATTGCAACCTCGAAAATCAACTTTAAAAAAATATAACAGGGGCACCTGGCTGGCTGAGTCAGTGGAGCATACGACTCTTGATCCTGGAGTTGTGAGTTTCAGCCCATGTTGGGCGTAGAGATTACTTAAAATGAAATCTTAAAAAATAAGTAAATAAATAAAATTTAAAAATATAAAACACAACAGAGGCTCACCTCCTCCCGCTATGTTTATAATTTATGAAAGTGAAAAGCTGGAAACAACCTCGATGTCCAACCTGGACATTAATACGAAGCGCAGCACTGCTACACGATGGACTTGAGCCGCTAACGGTGAGGCTTGTCGAACACCTCATGTCTTCAAGAATGCACGATGCGGTATTAAGGAAAATAGAAAACTTTGCCTGAACCAGAGTCCGTCTAGTTCAGCCAAGCACTGCGACGAATGTGGAATGTTAACAAGTGTTGTTACTAAGTGACACGATTGCAGGTAATTTTAATCGTATTTTTGCACAGTTCTCTATTTTTAAAATTTTCTATAATACATATTATTTTATAGTCATATTTCTAAGTCACTAAAAATTTTTTATTTTATTTTTTAAGTAATGTCTACACTGAACCTGGGGCTTGAACTCATGACCCTGAGATCAAGAGTCACATGCTCTACCAACTGAGCCAGCCAGGTGTCCTTTTAATACACGACCTTACACCGGCAATAAAATTATACAGAACCTAACATACACACAAGAGCACAAAACTGGAGAAATCAGAATAAGATCAATAGACTGGATCAATGTCAATGTTCTGGTTGTGGTACTGCAACCTAGTTATGCAAAATGTTACTCTTGGGGGAAACTGGGCAAAGCGTGCCAAGCCTCTCTGCATTATTTCTTAAAATTGCATGTGCTAATTATTCCACTTTTATTTTTTTTTAATTTTTTTTAATGTTTATTTATTTTTGAGACAGGGAGAGACAGCATGAATGGGGGAGGGTCAGAGAGAGAGGGAGACACAGAATCCGAAACAGGCTCCAGGCTCTGAGCTGTCAGCACAGAGCCCGACGCGGGGCTCGAAGTCACGGACCACGAGATCATGACCTGAGCCGAAGTCGGACGCTTAACCGACTGAGCCACCCAGGTGCCCCAAATTATTCCACTTTTAAAGAAAATGTACATTTCTACAAAGGGATTTTATTATACTTCTAATTTTTTAGTAAGTGAAACACTAGAGTCATTCCTATTAAAGTCAGGAATAAGACAAGGAGGCCCATTATTCGATAATGTCCCGTAGTCAACAATGCCACTATGCGAAGGAAAAAAAGTCATTACAAATAATGAAAACATAATATAAAACAAAACAATCAGTATCTGAAGATGATATGACTGCCAGTCTAGAATACAGAGGTATCAATCAACAGAATCTATCAGATTAATAGAGTTCAGAAAGGTGGCTAGATATAAAATCAATATGTGAAAATCTGTAACTTTCTTTTATAGCAGCAGTATATTTCCCCCTCGTTTTTATGCCACTCCGTATTATTTTTTTCTGTTGCCAGACAATTTACCATTTGCCAACGTGAAGAGTAAGGTAGAGAAATAAAGATGTCAGGAAAGACGGACAAAATACTATGGGCAGCACAATCATGGGCATGGAACGTTGGCGTGGTCTCCTTTGTACGTCTGGCTTTGTGAAGCACGGGGGCAGGTGTCACTGGCCGGAAAAGGCCAGGAATCCCATTAACACAGCCCAGGCCCTCAACACTGCTTTAGCTCCAAACAGACACGCAAGCAGGTGCGGATCTTCCTTACCATCTTGCCACTGACCGTGGCCTCCAGGGAATCCACCAGCTCTGCCGTGACCCCGATGAGATTGTGGTAGTCTGCCTGGATCTTATTGTACCGCTTCAGGTACGTCATTGACCTACGCTCGGCTTCTATCAGCTGCTGGTGGAGCTGCTGCGACATTTCTAGGAAGACGATTTACATTAAAGCAAAACAAACCAAAACAACAGTAAAAACAAAACAAAAAAAACCCACAAAATAAAAAATATACTCTTCTCAAGGCAGTATTGTGCCTGCTTTCAGAATGTTCTGCAGTCACAATGAACTTGATATTATTCGTGTTTAACACTTTCCTTCTGGGGCACTTGGGTGGCTCCATCAGTTGGGTATCTGACTTCGACCCAGGTCATGATCTCACGGCTGTGAGTTCGAGCCCCACATCGGGCTCTGTGCTGGCAGCTCAGAGCCTGGACCCTGCTTCAGATTCTGTGTCTCCCTCTCTCTCTGCCCCTCTCCTGCTCACTCTCTGTCTCTCTCTCCTTCAAAAATAAATAAATATTAAAAAAAAAAAACCAACACTTTACTTCTATTTCCTGACACATTTAATTACAAAGTGCTTTGTGACCACTGATTTTCAATTTCTGGTCTCTGGTAGTTCAACTGAATCGTCACTGGTTTTCCTCACACAATCTATTTCCTTGACTGAGCCCCATGCAATTTCTTGTAGTTGCTCTCTCTGTGTAAAAGACACAAACTCAGTATTTCTTCCAGCTCACACACTGGGTGAAGCAAACCTACAGCTATTCCTCTGTGTTTGCCCCGTGAGGTTGTCTGGAGGTAATCTGTATCTGCAGGCCAGCTCTTCATTTTCGGTAAAGGTTAGGCTACTTGCCTAATGCTGAGGAAGCTAGAATCCAGAATTAGGCAAGATTCAAGGTGCTCGGTCTGCCAGCTTGATAAAGCACAAACCACCCCACTGGGCCCTAGAGCAGGCAGCCTTGGAAGGTTCCAGGGTTCTCTTCTGGGACTCTACACCAGGGACAGCACTTGATGGCCAAGCCACCCCGGACACAGCCAGAATAGCGAATCTTATCTAGTGTCAGCACTCCTTTGGCCCATCTTCCTTTTCCCCCTCCCAGAAGGCTAAGTTTGGATGGAAGGAAATGATGATGCCCCCAAACCCAAGTTAACTACTCTTGTCCTAACTGGGCATTGTCATCATTTTAGAACACATTTCATCCATGCACTGAGAGATTTGAAAACCCTAAAGACCTGGGCTCAAGTGGCTATTCTACCACTTTCTGCTGGATAATCTTGTACAAGACGCTTAACTTCTCTCATCTCATTTCTTAACCTATAAAACGGGGATGATGATAATGACCCTGAAGAGTTATTGTGAGGATTGTACAGCATAGGGGAAACAATCAATAATACTGTGATAACATTATATGGTGACAGATGGGGACTACACTTATCCTGACGAGCACTGAGTAATGTACAGAACTGTCGAATCACTATGTAGTATACCTGAAACTAATACAACACTGTATTTCAACTATACGTCAACTTAAAAAAAAAAAAAAGCATACATACAAAAAACAAGTTAGTATGAGAATTAAACAAACAGATATACTCAAAGTGCCTAGCACAATTCTGGCCCACAAGAGGCAATCAATAAGTAATAGCTATTATGGAAAGGGGTCAAAGATTTCCTAAATATGTTTCCATACAAGTAGACAACTTGAAAAAACCAGGGGTTAAACCCTAAAGCCGCAGTATGCAAAATTTGAAACATGTCAGAATCATCCAAAAGTAAAGATAATCAAGCCTCACCTTCAGAGACTGATTTTATGGATACGGGGTGGGGACTGAGAAACTATATTGTCAACAAACTCTCCAAATGGCTCTGATGCATATCACAAGTTTGAGCCCCACTGTCCTAAATTATCTATTCCTCTTAATTTGTGTTCTAAATAGCTATGAGGATCAGGCGTGAACTGTATCTCAATTACAATTATGTGTAGAAGTCAAATATTTTAACTATTAAAACCTCAAATATCACATTAAAATGAACTAATATTACTATTATTATTTAGCATCCTTCAAATCTCAGTATTAAAAGATAACTTTAAAAAGTTCTCAGGCCATGGGGTGCCTAGGTGGCTCAGTTGGTTAAGCATCTGACTTTGGCTCAGGTCATGATCTCATGGTTCATGAGTTCAAGCCCCGCACTTGGTGAGCTTGAACCCCACTTCGGGGGGCACTCCGTGCTGACAGTACGGAGCCTGTGTGGGATTCTCTGTCTCCTTCTCACTCTGCCCCTTACTCAATCATGGCCCCCCCACCCCGTCTGCTCTCTCAAAAAAAAAAAAAAAGTCATCTGGCGTGAATTTACATCTAGCACTTGAAACTTTGGAAAACATCTATGGAAATCATTTGTCAAGTTTTTTCTTAAATATTATTAGGGAGAAGGAAGGAGTCACTACCATCTTCCTATGCTAAATAGTATTAAGGCTTTTTCATACGTACAAAATTCCAAATTACATAAACCGGAACATCCAACTATAAAAATTCTACAGGATAGTCATAATTCTACTTCATGGCAATGACTATTAGAGTACCTGTGCAATCTTTCTTAACATGTACCAAGTAGCAGATGATGAAGTACCAAAACCCATTAACCGGGGCAAATAACGTCACAAATCATCAATATAAAAGTCCCCAAATTGGGGCACCTGGGTGGTGCAGTCAGCTGGGCATCCAACTTCTGATTTTGGCTTGGGTTGTGATCCCAGGGTCGTGGGATCGAGCCCCACGTCAGGCTCGGCACTAAGCACGGAGCCTGCTTAAAATTCTATCTCTCCCCCTTCTGCCTCCTCCCACTCTCCCCTGCTGTGCTCTCGAAAGAAAGAAAGAAAGAAAGAAAGAAAGAGAAAAAAGAAAGAAAGAGAAAGAAAGAAGAAAAGTGTCCAAAGTTGTCCCCTCAAAAAAGGACTGCACAAAGGAATTCTCCTCAGAAAGTCACTGTGCAATTAACTAAACGTAAGGGACTACTTGTGGCACTTTTGCCTTAGGAACTCAGAATTGGAATTTATGACAGTGTCAAAGTATGGCACACCTGAGGAAAAATACCTAACTGCCAGCAGCCACAGAAAGGAGAGAAGTGGGCAGTTGGGCTGAAATATCTGTGACCAGTTCAAATACACCATTGGACAGAACAGCCTGTGGTACAGAGATGTCACCCAGAGGACACCTTAACTGGCTACAAACAGGACCTGGCCATTACTGTTAAGCGATTCGGCTCCAGCTCCAAGATCTCAACTTTATGTCTGAGGGTAAAAAGAACTTTCACTCTTTTTTCCTTCTCAAAAGTTTCATGAGACAAGGACCTTGCCGTGCAAGAGCTCAACTTTGAGTGGAGAGGTGTTACTAGAAATCCCAGCTTATATTAATGAAACTGTCTGAGTTATTTCATATTTCACAACTACTTACATAATTTGTACAAAAATCCAAAGAAGTACTTCCCTAGTTTTAAACAAAGAGATATATACAATTAAAAGAATGTCAGTTAAGGTCACAGAAAGTTTTCTGGTAATTCCAGCATCCGATGAAACACTAACAAAAGTGATAGAGTTCTCCCTCCATGGCCAAGCCATCAAGTTGTCTCTCAACACTTCTACTTTAAATACGTTGCCTTTTTTTTTTTTTTAAAGAGTGGATGAGATTTAACTTTAGAGACCCCTTTGTTGCTCAAGACAAAATGATATATTTTAAATACATGGAACTATTTTTCTAACATCTAAAAATCTGAAATCAGTCACTCTAACTTTATAATATGACATACTCTTTCTTCTTTGTATTCAGATATAAATCAGCTTTGCTATTTTGCTAATCCACAAGTACTGTGAATATAGATCATCATTTTAAAAATGCCATTTAGGGCTCTAAACTCTAGAAAAACAGTCAGTTGCTCATTTTCTGAAGAGGTCAGATCAATGGATGGCAGAAATGCTAAAAGATACCATTTCTATACCTTTTTATTATTCATTTTATTTATTTATTTATTTATTTATTTATTTATTTATTTATTTATTTATTTATTTTTTGAGAGAGAGCGCATGCGAGCAGGGGAAGGGCAGAGAGAGAGGGAAAGAGAATCCCAAGCAGGCTCTGTGCCATCAGCATAGAGCCCACCGAGGGACTCAAACCCATGGACCTGGTGATCACGACCTGAGCTGAAACCAGGAGTCAGATGCTGAACTGACTGAGCCACCCAGGCACCCCTCTGTACCTTTTTTGGATGGCTAGGTAAAATAGTAAGACAATATGCTGAGTTTTTATTCTAAGTACCATTTTAAAATGTAATTCCTTTTGAGAGAATTTTCTACTCCAAGCACTCTTCTTGCCTTCTTCAAAAGCTTGTGGAAATCTTACTCATGAAACCTTCCTCTCAAGATACGCAGAATAATGATATTGCCCAACCATTCAATGTAAAAAACAACACCTAAGTCTAGAATTCAAATAAACTGGGAGCATGTCTGCGCCTTGTGGTCACTGCAGCAGTAACTGTGGGAGGAGGGGACAAACTGGTGACAAGGGGCTGTCACGACATGGGGCCTGGGCCTGAGCCCCTGGTACCAGTGCCCTGTGGAGCTCACCTCTGATCTCCATGGCAATACTGCATCATGGGGCTTATTCAGCCACGGACACACGCTGCGCCTGCCAGGCTCAATTCCACCGACATTCTGCTTGGCTAGCCTCAGAAAACTCAATTAAAATCAAACCTAAAGAGGGCTCACACACCCTGGTCTCCTTGCTGAAATCCGAAGGGAAGATCTGTAGAAAAACACAGGCTCTTCCCTTTACACTCCCCCTCCCTCCCAGGTTTATTTTATCCATAAAACTGGGCCACTTCTGAAAGACAGGACTGGTTCCTGGCAGAAAGTTGTCCTCAAAAGCTTTGGGGTATGTTGGGGTGACAAGGGCTGGCTGAGACTCAGGAATGAGGGAGGTTTCCCACCACTTTCCCTCCGCCAGTGCCTAGGGGTCCAAAGACTGAGTCTGAACGAGGATTACTGGAGAACTAGGGCGATTTTCTGAAACTCAAAGGATGCCGGTGGGGTAGTGGTTTTAAAATATGATGGCCACATCTTTGACACTCCTTCCCATCAAGAGGTGGAACGTCATTCTCCTTCCTTTGAATGTGAGTTGGCTTTAGGAATTTGCTTCTGATGAAGAGACTGCAGCAGAAATGACACAGAGTTCCTCTAGAGGTTGGTTTAGAAAAGGTGACACAGCTTCCACGGGCTCTCTCTGGGGACATTCATCCTGGGAACCCAGCCACCATGCCACAAGAAAGCCCAGGTCACAGAGGTGTTCCAGTCGGGCGCCTCAGTACTGGCCACCAGGTGCACATGGGTGAGGAAGCCTTGGGGATGGCTCCCCTGAACCCACGAGACAGCCAGGGAGAAATGCCTAAGCACACGGTTCCAGGCCAGGCAAGGTGATGCTGATAATAAGGGGACATTGTTGTTTTATGCCACTAAGCCTGAGATGGTTTGCTAGGTCAAAACAGAAACAGAAACAGGGGGGGCAAGGGTGCATTTCCAGGAGTTGCAGGGCGGGACCCAATGCCCAGCACAATTTAAGAATTCCCACTGTTCTGGGGCACCTGCCTGAGTGGCTCAGTCGGTTGAGTGTCTGACTCTCTGTTTCAGCTCAGGTCATGACCTCACAGCTCATGGGATCGAGTCCAATGTCGGGCTCCATGTGGACCCTGCTTGGGATTCTCTCTCTCTCGGCCCTTCTCCTGCTCCCTCTCTCAAAATAAATAAACATTAAAAAAAAAAAAAAAAAAAAAGAATACCCACTGTTCTGAACATGAGAAAACTGGCCTGGGAACCATACTAACTCTTCAGGGAGCAGGCCTGGGGACCTGAGGAGAGCTGCTGGAACTCAGACTCGGGCACAACTTTACTGGGGACAGAGCAGCCTCAGCGAGCTCCAAGGCCACAGCCTGGTGACCCTTAGAGGATTCCATGTTGACCCGATGAGGCCACATCTGTGGCCCAGCTCTTCTGTGCTCAGGCATAGACTGATGCTTCCCAGTGAAGGATCGTGGGGCTTGTCCCTCTGAGCTACCGGGGGTGGGGGGGGGTGGGGGGGGCAGCTGGCAGGACCATTCACCTGAGCAGGACTGCTGGGTGGGGGAGATGCAAGGCTGTACCAGGCAAAAGGAAGCACTCAGACTTTCCTCATCTGAAGCTGAACCCGCCTTCCTTGTGTTGGAAAGCAAAGAGATAAATAATTTACTAACCCTACACCCCACCCCACCCCCAGCTTTTTTTGTTTTACAAAACTTTAAAAAAGACCGTGGAAAAACAAAGACAGGAAGTTCTGAGATCCTCTCTAACATTGCCCTGCTGTGAGAAGGGCAAATGTGCTGTTTCCTGTGGTAACACTCCACCTGCTGGGGACTGAGGACTATGCCACCAAAACTCACAAAGGCATGAAACACATCATCATCCACCCTTTCCAATGTTAATTTAAGCACTTTTTGTAACGTAGGATCAAAGACAAAACTTAGGCAAAGCACCACAATTGTGGCCACTGACTTCATATTAACTGAATTTTTCTTGCCTTACTGAAAAATGGGATAGTTCTAGCAAAAAAAAAAAAAAAAAAAAAAAAGACTAATAATGGAAAACCATCTTTTTATGCTAAAACCTTAAGCCTGGAATTCCTAAACTGAATGCAAAAAAATGGAAATGCTTCTAAGATGGGTGTTCCATTGCTATGTAAATAAGACCCCACTAGACTAGTTCCAGGTAAAAGTGGAAGTTCCTAAAATGATACTTCTGGCACCCATGCTGCACTGGGTCTCTGGCTGGGCTGCAGCCCCATTCCTTCGGGATATTGCTTGGGTTCTCTTCTCTTCATGTCTCTGGGTCTTAGTCACCTGATACACAAGACGTAGCTAAGGCCAGCCGTCCTGCAAAGTGGGACTCAAGGAATCACAAACTTGATCACAAAATACTTCGTAGATATTTAGACTTTCATCTTTTAAATTAAAAAATAATGTAGACTTTTAAAGCCCATGTTTGCCAAATGCACAAATTCTCACCATCTCTGTCCCTAGCCTACTGCTTAAAACTTGAGTTGGCCAAGTTGTTCTTTAAAAAATGTTAATCTAGGGGCGCCTGGGTGGCTCAGTCGGTTGAGCGTCCGACTTCGGCTCAGGTCATGATCTTGCAGCCTGTGAGTTCGAGCCCTGTGTTGGGCTCTGTGCTGACAGCTCAGAGCCTGGAGCCTGCTTCGGATTCTGTGTCTCCCTCTCTCTGCCCCTGCCCAGCTCATGCTGTCTCTGCCTTTCTCTTAAAAATAAACATTAAAAATGTTAATATTAAAAAAATGTTAATCTACATGATTTACCTTTGTTACTCTGTCCATTCTCCTTCTGGGATGAGAAAGAAGTTGAGGAAAACAAGCAATGAAGATAAAGTACTCACGGGATTTCACGTTGCGTGGCCAAGCTGAGAAAGCCTTAGCAAGGTGAAAAGCAATTCTCAGGAGAGTAAAGGCCGTTTCCTAATGTTGCTATATATATAGCTGAGACAGGTACTAACTTCTCAGTACTTGGAGGCTCACTCTCAAGTGAATCACCTTTTTCCAGCTCAATTACTGCTGCATGCATGCAAGTCTTACCCTATCCGGTAGCCCCCTAAGTGGCCTCCTGACCCCCTTCAAAAGAAGTTCCCCACTGCTACTGAACATTCTACTAAAAAGGAAACTGAACTCGTACCCTTCAACTCTGCCCCTTCATTCGAAAGCTTTACCCTAAGGACACTGAGACTGGGAAGACAGCCACAGAGCATAGTAGCTGAGATCACAGATTCTGAAGCCAGACTGCCTGAGTTCAAATCTCAGCTCACACACACCCGGCCACATGACTGAGGGCAAAGTATTTGTTTGGTTTGGGTTTTCTTAATTTTTTTGGTAACAGCTTCACTGAGACATAATCCATGTATAACTCACTCATTTCAAGTATATATTTCAATGGTTTTCAGTCTATTCATAGAGTTGTGCGACCATCACCGCAATCAATTCTAGAAAATTCTCATCACCCCCCAAAAGAAACCCTGTACCCATGAGGAGTCATCCCCAGCTTACCTACCCTCCCTGGCCCCAGGCAACCGCTCATCTGCTGTCTCTATTGCTTTGCCCTTTCTGGACCCTTCATACAGATAGAATCATATAACATGCAACCTGTCATGTGTGGCTTCGTTCATTCAGCAGAATGTTTTCGAGGTCTGTCCACGTTGCAGCGCGTCAGTACTTCATTCTGTTACAAGCCTGAATACTATCCATTCATCTTATTTATCCATTCCTCCCTTGATGGACACTTGGGTTGTCTTCACTTCTTGGCTGTTCTGAGTAACGCTGCTGTGAACATTAGTATACAAGGTGCCGTGTAGACATGTTTTCAGCTCCCTGGGGTACACAGCTAGGAGTGGAATTGCTGGGTCATATAGTGACTCTGTGTTTAAACTTTTGAGGAAACAACCTGTTTTCGAAGGATATTTAATGAAATGCGGAAATGCTCTCTTCGTTTGATAAAAATATTTAAGAATACACACGTGACAGGTATGTATGCTTAAACATTACGTACTTCTGGGTATATGTATGTATACAAATGCATTTCTGTGCTTTCCAAATTTTCTATAAAAATTATGGTCAATTTTATAATCAGGAATACAAGGATTTTTTTTTTTTTTTAATGTGAGTATGAGCATGGTATCCTCCTGCTTAAAATGCTTCAAAGGCTCCTCATTACTTACAAGACCTCAACAAATCTCTGTGCCGGCCCTGCCTAGTGTCTTTCTCTCTCCCGTTCCAGCAATACTGAATTCTGTGTCGTTTCCTAAATATACTCTCAGTCCTTTTGCATGTGCTGTTCCCTCTACCTGGAATTCCCTTTATGTGCCTTGACACACTCTCCCATTAATGCTTCACACAACTCATAAATATGAAAGCAACAGTATCAATTATCCCTATTCATGAGGCAACCTAAGCCAGTGCGCTACTCCAGGGCCCTGGGTGGGGGGGGGTCTCCATCTGCTTCAAAAGGATACGTATAATGTTAAAAGCTTTGGCGTGTTACTGGCTTTAAAAATTAAAGCCAGAAACTTTTCCAACTTCAACTTTAATTCTGGAGTCCAAGAATCCTGAAGAAAAAAAACACACACACAAAGAAAAATAATAAAGTACTACATCATTAAATGCCAACAGCGTTGTCAAATTGTGTGTGGCCTTTGGTTTAAATAACCCTATCCAACACAGTTACTGAAATCAAAAGCAGATGCCTTGGCTGTTGTGTGATGCTGTGAAAAATAGGTTTTAGGACATCTGACCAACTCTTTATAAAAGATTCAAATACCCACAGCAGGAAGAAAGAACAGAGTTCTTTCATAAACAAGGAAAAAAGAACCCTGTACATGATTTGAATATTTCATGTGATTTAAACACAGGCATGACAAATAACCTTATTAGGTTGAATGCCAAGAAGAATTCAGTATAGTTTAAGTGTATAAGGCGCTGGCAGGCACACCCAGTTATCACTAAGTTACTAAAAGTTTCCCAAAGAAAAAGACTCATTTCCATAAATTTCATCTAGATAAGAAAAAAAAAGGACAGAAACTGTTATCTGCCTTAAATACCGCATCACGTCAAGAATTATGATATACTTTTAGTTTGACTTGTCCCTTAATTATTTATCTCAAATAATGCTCACTGAAAAGGAAAGGACTTAAGTAGTAAAAGCGTGACAAGCAATTATCTTTCTCAGGACAATTTTCCTTACAACCTTTATGCAAGAATACCTACCACCCAAACCAAGAAGCTCCACAAAAAAGAAGCAATATCTTTAAAACTTCGTATCTACTTACCTCTTAGGTCCTGCCCCACCCCCAGCTCATCGTCCTTGTCCACACCTCCCACCCCACCCATTCTACCCAGGGCATCATCTGGCTTTTGGAAAAGATTGTGTAGGGGCACCTGGGTGGCTCAGTAGGTTGAGCATCCAACTTCGGCTCAGGTCATAATCACAGTTCTTGAGTTCAAGCCCCGAATCAGGCTTTGTGCTGACAGCACGGAGCATGGAGCCCACTTCGAGTTCTGTGTCTCCCTCTCTCTCTGTCCCTCCCCTGTTACGCTCTGTCTCTCTCTCTCTCTCAAAAACAAATAAACATTAAAAATAAATAAATAAAAATTAAAAATTAAGATTGTGTAAATCCCTGACATGGCACAATCTCTTTATTTATAATGTGTGTTATGGGTTGAATTGCATCCCCTTAAAAAGATACGCTGAAGTCCCAACCTCCTCAGAATGTGAGGGCACTGACAGGGCTGCTGTAGATGTAATTAGCTAAGATGAGTTGTACTGGACTAGGGTGGTCCTTCATCCAACATAACCAGTGTCCTTACAAGAAGGAAATTTAGACACAGACACAGAGAGAAGATGGGCCTGCAAAGACTGGGGACTGGAGTATGCTGCCATGAGCCAAGGACACCTGAAACTACTAGAAGCTACTAGAAGCCAGAAGAGGCAAGGAAGGCGCCTCCCCCCTACAGGCTTCACAGGGAGCGCGACCATGCCAACACCTTGATTTCAGACCTCTGGCCTCCTGACCTGTGACAGGAAGTTTCTGCCATTGAAGCCCCCACTCTGTGGCCCTTTGTCACGGCAGCCGCGGGAAGCTGACAGAGCGTGCCGCAGCTCGAGGCTTCTGTGTTCAATGCACAGGAGAGAATCGCGGGAAAGGACTGCTATGTTGGTCAACATAAATCAAGACATCTTAAAAAACAAAACAAAACAAAACAAAACAAAACCTTTGGGACATGTAGACTTGCAGCTAAATTGCTCTGTTGCTGACTACTATTTTGCATAACCAACAAATCTGTATTTCCAACTTAACTACTGACCTTATGATGCTCTGCTAATGACAGGGATAAATAACATTGCGATAGAACCTCTTTGGGCAATAAATCCCTTATTTTTTTTTTCTTGACTGCTCTTATTCTTCTGTTTGAGAACAAGGACGTTTCCCAAGTCCAATGGGCACCTGCCTCCCCAGCTCCCATGGGACGAGGGAAGCACGGGGCTGGTTCTGCTGTACCGCCTGCACAAAGCCACTCACCCTCTTCGTGTCATAGTTTCTTCACTTGTAGAATGTGGACTTTACACTAGAGTGATTGTCTGACTTGTTTTTTCCCAACAGCAAAGCCATCTGATCACTCAAAATCTTGCCCAGAACCCTAATATATGAAATGAGTAAGAGTGGGGCTATTCCTGGGGGGCAGGGGGCAGAGCTCAATGCTGGACTCTCCCTGCTTACCCGCTTACCCGCTGCCTTCTCCCCCCTCGCAGGGCGCACAAGAATTCCTTCCATTTCTTTCGGTCTTCACTAATTAAGCTTAACTTGGCTCTTGCTATATAAGCACCCAAAAGTTTTTCTGGAACTAATCATTAGAGGAATACCCAAGTATTTCTGCATGGAGATGCTCACTGACAAACTGAGTTTGCTAAAAAGAGCTCACTACAATCGCTACAAAGGAATTTCCTTTTCTGGCAGCTCAGCAGAAATGATAACCTGAAAAAGCAATGAAAACAACTAAAAAAGTTGGATAAATAAACCATCTTATAAAATGCATCCCTAAGTGGCATGAAAGGAAAGTCAGAGGCTAAAAATGAGTTTTCACTCTAAGGATAACCCAGAGTCTTGAAGACCTTAAACTTCAGTTCTAAGAGCTGTCACAAGACGGAAGACAATAGGATCCAGATGCTCATAGTAAACAATCTAAAAGACCCTTGCATAAAATTGGGATCCCAGGGCACCTGGATGGCTCAGCTGGCTAAGCGTCCAACTTCAGTGCAGTTCATGATCTTACAGTTTGTGAGTTCAAGCCCCGCGTTGGGCTCTGTGCTAAGAGCTCAGAGCCTGGAGCCTGCTTCGGATTCTGTGTGTGTGTCTCTCTTTCTCTGCTCCTCCCCCACTTGTGCTCTGTCTCTGTGTCTCAAAAATAAATAAATGTTAAAAAAATTTTTTAAATTGGGATCCCAAAGGGCTATGCCATCAGGAAAAATTCAAGGATGAATCAATCCACTGCCTAGAAGGGGACAGCAAGGAAGTCTACCTGTCTTGACCTTGACATTAGGTAGAAGGGAGGAGAAACTTCATGTGAAAGTTCATAACCCAAACCAGTCCCATTAAAAATTGCAGCCTAAACTGACACTGTCTGTGTGGTTCCCAAAGCCTTGAACAAAGAATTTGATTTAAAATGATTCTGGGTTGGTAATGCCCTAGATGATTGAGATGCAAACACAGATCTTCTCTGAAAGAATCAAACTGCACTCAGGCCTCAAAAAAAATCCCTACAAGTCCCACATAAAATAAACTCATTATCAAAACTCAAAATAACTGATTTTTTTTTTTTTTTAAACAAGGATGGGCACCTGGGTGGTTTGGTCGGTTAAGCACCCAACTCTTGATTTTGGCTTGGGTCATGATCTCGTGGTTCCTGAGATCAAGTCCTACATTGGGCTCCATGCTGACAGTGCAGGGCCTGCTTGGGATTCTCTCTCTCTCTCTCTGCCCCTCCCCTGCTCGTGCTCTCTTTCTCTCTGAGAATAAATAAACCTAAAAAAAAAATTTTTTTTTTAAAGAAATAAGACCCATGAATGAGAACCAGAAGACACAAAACACAGCAGGATCAAATCTACAAAGGCTCCTGATATTAAAATTAACAGATAAAGAATATAAAACAAATGTTTAATATGGTAAAGAAATGAGAGAGACTTGAAAATATGAGCAAAGAATAAAAGACTCTAAAAATAATTGAAATTACAAATTCAATGAAGAGATTAAAGAACAGATTGGACACAGTTTGATGGGTAAATCTGGGAATGAGAAAATAGGTGTGAATAAATCACCCAGAATACAGCCCAGACAGAGATCACAAGATGGGACATATGAGATGTTAAGGGACAAGGAGGGCACAACATTGTGAACGTACTTGACACTTACTGAACTGTACACTTCACGATGGCAGAGATGACAAATTTTATGTGTATTCTGTCACAATTTTTTTAATGAAGAAAAAATAGACACGGAAAACAGAATGAGCAAGTCTAATGCAGATTTCATCAGATCTGTAGATTAAATGTAGATTAATCAGACACCCAGAAGAAGATCATAAAGAGAACGGGGAAGAGGCAATGTATGAAGAGAAAACGATTTTCCAGAGTTGTTGAAAGACACAAACATCACATCCAAGAAGCCCAACAAAGCCCAAGTAAAAATAGAAATCTATCCCCAGACACATCATAGTGAAATTACACAATCTTAACGGCCAGAGAAGCGAGACAGAGCGCCCACACAGGAGCAGCAAGTAGACTGATGGCCAACTTCCAACAGCAGCAATGGGGCGAGGAGAGGGGACAATCATACCTTCACTGTAATAAAGGAAACCAGTTGTGAACCTACCAGTCTGCACCCCATCTGAGAAAGCGACCAAGACATTTCAGACAAACGAGAACCGAAAGGGATCTTCAAGTACAGTTGATTCTAAAGGAATGTACATAAGGCAGACGAGAAAATGATTTCTGATGGAAGGTCCTTCATGCAAGATGGAACAAATGCTGGCAAATATAAGGGCAAATCTATACACACACAGATGGAATAAAATAGTAATACCTGTAACGTGTGGGGTTAAAATATATAACTCAAATACTGGACAACAAGAGCAAGTAAACTGGGAAAGGGGTGAATGAGGCTAATGCATCCCAAGGTCCTTGCACGAAGAGGACGCAGATATTAGCTTTAGATTTTATTACAGAAACATACTAAAGCATGTAGGATGGCCATTGAAAGAACATGTAGAGAGTAACAAAAGTAAAAACAATGGAATAAAATGACTCCCCGTGAATACTGAACTCTGCCTCAGAATGCCATGCGAGAGCAGGCCAGGTGCCCACGGCAGCCTCAGCTGGACCCGTCCCTGACTGCCAGCTGCACCCCTGCCTGGACCTAAGCTGGGGCCACATTACCACGCCATCATTTTCATAAACCGAAGTCTTCACTCTGAGAAAATCTAACATTTCTTTTCAAGTTCCATCACCTTCCTAACCATTTTATATCTTCAACCTCCTGGGAGAGGAAGGGGGTAAAACTAAATTTGGACAGACAAAGAAACACAAACACAGAATTCAACTTCGGCTACTCTACAACGAGCCGGCTTTGATGGAATCAGTCAGCTACCTGGCCTTCTAAATTTAGCAGCTACTTTTTAGGAGTGATGGAAGTCGTGCGACTAAATTATAACAGGAGGGGCGCCTGGGTGGCGCAGTCGGTTAAGTGTCCGACTTCAGCCAGGTCACGATCTCGTGGTCCTTGGGTTCGAGCCCCGCATCAGGCTCTGGGCTGATGGCTCAGAGCCTGGAGCCTGTTTCCGATTCTGTGTCTCCCTCTCTCTCTGCCCCTCCCCCGTTCATGCTCTGTCTCTCTCTGTCCCAAAAATAAATAAAAGTTGAAAAAAAAAATTTTAAATTATAACAGGATAGGAAACGGAGATATGCTGGCTTTGGAAAGAGAAGTGTATCTGTTGTTCAGTGGCACAGAGGACTCTCCAAAGAGATTCTTGGAAACACTGTGAGATCTTTCTTTAGGAAAAGCAAACTGCATCACTATTGTTTCTGTCTCTTAAACACACTTTAATAAGTCTCTCAGGGGACATCTTAATTTTATTAGGTCAGTAAAAATTACTACAATGGATAAACAAACACTGATAGTAAGTAGTATGCTGAAATGTCAACTAATGTGAAATATAACAACTAAAACAGCTACAGGCAAGTAGTCTGAAGGAAACAATAGTAACAGCCAGGTAATCGGACATACGCCAAGCAAGTGAGACTCTGAATACAAATTAAAACATACATGGCCGGCAGTTATGTAAAATAACCTAGTTCTTTTCACGCTACTATTTTTCAATGTAATTGGAAGACTTGTCCTTTCAATACCAAAAAAAGGATGCACAGAATGATTTAGGAAGTGCATACACTTAAGAATATTTATGTCAGGCTGGGTTAACAAGTCTCAGTACAACCAAAAATCACACTCTATGGCATAAGGGAAGTTTGTCAAAGAAATGATCTGAAAACAAGCAAGTTTTAGAGTGTTTTTACAGCATCATTCAGAAACCACTAGCGTATACAAGATGAAACCACAATGTGGCCTGGGATCTGATTCAAGATTCAGAGGCTGTCACTCACCTGGAAGAGCTCTTTAAACGAGGGGTGTACCATGGGGTTGGGAACAAAAGGCAGAGCGTAGAAAGGGAGAAACTCTGTGGTCTGGCTCAACGCCGCCCCTTTGGTCTCCAGGTAGGTTTTGAAATAAGAAATCCTCTCATCCAGGTCCTCTTTGTCCTGCAAAGAAGGGAAGATGCTCGCCCGGGGTCTCCTGCTGGACATCCAGCCCCCTGTCCATCCCACCCTTTCTCCGAGGCTCCTTCAGTTCCAGCCACGTTGGTGGCATCCTCCCCACGAGGCCCAGGAAGCAGGCTCTCTCCAGCCATTCTAACACCACCCCCAATTTCACTCCTTGATCAAACTTTGTCAGGGATTAAAGAGAACTAGGTATCTAGTTCAATATACGGCCCTTTTACTTTATTATTGCTATTTTCTCATGTCCTTAAAATTCTAGACATCATTTCTACTGGCAGGACAAAACCTCACTTTGTGGGTCTATTACAACTTCCTTAACCAAGTCCCCCATTATTAGGTATCTGCACTGTTTTCCCTCGTCAGATTATCATAAACATTTGTCTGCATCCCCAGGATTCCCTCAGGTGAGACGTCTAAAGGTGAACAGGTGGACCTTTACAGTTTTTTGAAACAGAAGCTTCCACAGAATTCCTCCTTTCCTTTTGAAGCTAAGGACTGATCCTGCGGGCTTCGCCGGTTCTGTCAGATCCAAGGCAACTCAAGTCCCCCTCAGGCTTCGATTTCCTCCTGCGCCTCTTTGAGCCGCTCAGCCTGGAACTGGGTGCTCTCCTTCCCTGACCACCTGGCCGCCCCAGTTACGTGTGCCCTGTGTGTGTCTGTTTCCAATCAATGCATCTCATTTCGTCTACACCGTGAATCGCTTCTCGGCCTTTTGGCTAAGATCAAGTGTAGCAGCTCCACTGTGAAGCCCTCTTCTGGCCACCGGGCTTAAAAGAAGATGCAACATTGATGGATTTTCTTTATAGAACAGGAATAAGTATAAAGAAAGTGAAAATCTCCCATGATCTCACCCCCCGTGAGCACTGTCCTGATGTACTCTAAAGCTACCACGATGTACTGTGGAGCCGCTCCCTCCACCACTCACCCCTCCTCTGGCCCCCCTGATATTTTAATGAGTGAACACAGGTGCTGGGGCAGTAGCTAATACAAGGAGAAGCCACTAAAGAAATGCACGCGGTCAAATGTCAGCATGGCCCTGCTCCCTTATGTCACGCATTCTACACTCGGAGACACTCAGGCCCTGCGCTCCGCACACCTGCGCACGGCCTGCGGCGGCCATTCAGCCAGTGCTCAAATGGACCTTCGTCAACTGGTGTCTTTCCGCGGCTTAAACTTAAACTTCTCTTATGACAGTCTAATATGTGGTCTCAGTAGCTGTTTTCTTAGACATACATGTATATATTTCAAATTGCCAAATAAGGAAACTTCATTTTGCTGAGTTTTCAAAAATTTGAGGCATTGGGGAAAACCATGCAGCTTGTAAGACAGAAATTATTAACTCTCCATGTAAACTAGAAAATAAACTGCTGGGAATCAGATAGAAAATCATTCACAGGGGTGCCTGGGTGGCTCAGCCGGTTAATGGTCAGACTTTGGCTCAGGTCATGATCTCACAGTTTGTGAGTTCGAGCCCCGCGTCGGGCTCTGTGCTGACAGCTCAGAGCCTAGAACCTGCTTCGGATTCTGTGTCTCCCTCTCTCTTTGTCCCTCTCCTGCTCATACTCTGTCTCTCTCTCTCCTTCTCAAAAATAAATAAACGTTAAAAAAAAAAAAAAAGAAAGAAAGAAAATCATTCACAGGACACAAGACACCTACTCCTTGGAAGCAATATGATAAAACGGCTACAAAAACTAAATTAATGCTCAACTGCAAAACAAACAGCGCACATCCTCCTTGAACACAGCACTCAGACCCACACAAGTCACAAGAGGAACCTACAGGTCTCCCCACGGAGTGTTTCAGAAGATAGATGGCAAAATGGATGTGAAGATAGAATTCCAACTTCTGGGCAAGGGGGTCACCATCACGGATGGAACTGGGAACGTGCTCCTCCCACAGATCGAAGAACACCTTCTGGTCTCCGCTGTCAAATGCAGCAATGAGGTCCTTCTGTGGAGAAGACAGGAGACCGAACCCCAGTCACAAGGGATGGCCATTCTCCCAACACCCCAGATTATCCCAACCCACCCAATACCCCGGATACTCCACATGCTCCGGGGTTTCAACGTGATAAAACTCAGTCTCCTTTCCAAGATAAAGGACAGAAAGATAGAGAGCTAGAAGGTTTCAAGCATCTGAGGCTGAGATTTCTGCAAACCAACCCTGGTTGCGATATCAAGTCTGGGCTCTGAAAGGATCAGTTGGAACAGTGAAGTCCCTGAAGGGGGAGGAACCACTCCCAGGCCAAGGACTTGAGGCCAGAAAACTCACAGGCACACACATACCCTGTGGACTCGCTGACCCGCAGCGCGCAATCGATAAAAACCAGGCCAGACCCAGAGCCCAGTCAGGCCTCAGCGGGGCTCACCCCGCCCACAAAGCAGCTTGCCAACAGCACAGCTGTGAACCGGAGCTCATCTACGCTGACCCGTTCAATCCCAGGCCTGGGATGCTAACGCATGTCCCACTGAGATGGCACTCGGGAAGTGACTACAGATCCCAACACATCCATACAGTGTCCACCGATTACAGAAGCAGGGAAGCACAGGCTACAGCTAGAGGAGGGGGCACAGGCCTGGTACCATTCCGACCTCGGGGCTGTGCGAGTCTGACTATGCAGGGCAGACGGTTTCTGGACTTACTGTGCAATAGCTGAGATAGAGAATTCTGGAGAAAGGAGGTGGCGATTATCACGCCGCCTGCCTCACAAGAAGAATGTTAAGTGTCCCATCACAAATACCTGCTGCATAATTTTGTGGATTTAAGTATAAGGCAGAATGGAAAGAACTTCCTAACAGTCCAAAGCAATGTGATTCATATTATTTTCCTTATGATATCAAATGCCCAAGATACTCAGACCTACATTTTGTGCTCATTTACAAAAGTTTTTCTTGGATTGGATTTTCTGTGGAACCTCCAGGTCCCCCCACCCAACACCATTATTCATCACTATTATTTGGTCATTGTATTTTTACACTTTGTTTTTTCTTTCACACTTTTGAAAAATGGCTTTATAGTATTCCTCTATAACTACCTCTTTGGTTAAGGTTGTTTATAAATGAGCTTGTTAATATCATAAACTGGAAATAGACTGAACAATGTTGCAGTGTCTGGTTATACTTGAAGATATTCATTAGTAAAGAATCTTCAACTACAATTAGTATAGAAATGTTCTCTATGTCATGTGATCAAGAACATCTGAATATTGGGGCGCCTGGGTGGCTCAGTCGGTTTAGCGTCTGACTCTTGATTTTGGCTGAGATCATGATCTCACGGTTCGTGGGTTTCAGCCCCGCCTAGTAGCTCTGCGCTGACAGAGGGAAGCCTGCTTGGGATTCTGTGTCTCCCTCTCGCTCTCTGCCCCTCCCTTGCTCACTCTCTCTCTCTCTCTCTCTCTCTCTCAAAAATAAACTTAAAAAAAAAATCAGAGAAATGCTGTTTTAAAAAAAAAAGAACATCTGAGTATTACCTTACTCTGGAAGGTCTTGGCATATATTTGAATGAAACTCAGAATTTTTCAAAGTAAGTCCTATAAGAAGTGTCTGCCTCCTCGGAACCATCCTCTTGCTGTTACTCAGCCTTGGTAACAGCGAAGGACAGCCTGTCAGCAACCAGAGGAAGAGCGGTGCCCAACAAAATGGGAGCAGCCGAGCTCTGCCTCCTCTGAAAGAATGAGGAAGCCCGTTACTGGCCGCCACAGGGGTGGAGGGGATCTTCCCAAGTGGCAGTGCTGTTGGGGCCCGACCCCACACCAGGCTCCCCTCTGTTGAGCTCTAAGCGAACCCTGCCATCCCTGCGAGCTGCTCTGGAGGAAGCATTCTCCCATGACAGGTCTAGTGACCGAGAGCTCTTCGTGTGAATGAGTTTACTGTAGATTTGGGAGTATTTTAAGGCTTTGAGTTCCCAAAAATAAAAATAAACGTTGAAGGCTTTGAGTCAAGGTATTTTGTCAGGTGCCTTGGCAGAGTCCACATGTCAAATGGGCCATGTATAGTCTGTTCTAAATTCTACATTTGTAGGGGCGCCTGGGTGGGCCTGTTAGTTAAATGTCCGACTTCGGCTCAGATCATGATCTCACAGTTCATGAGTTCGAGCCCCACGTCGGGCTCTGTGCTGACAGCTCAGAGCTTGCAGACTGCTTTGGATTCTGTCTCCCCTTCTTTCTCTGCCCCTCCCCTGCTCATACTCTATCTCTCTCTCTCTCAAAAATAAACATTAAAAAAAATTTTTAATTCTACACTTGTAGACCTGTGACCAGATTTATAGATCTGTACCTGGAAACAGTCCCTGCATTTAAAATAATATCTACATACAAAGCAATCCAGTGTTATAACTCATAGAGTCACAAATATTAATGACCTTCTCTTGTATAAACCATGATCCCAGCCAGAACCACCAAGATCAGAATATTTACACACCATTAATAGTAACTTATAAACACAACACACACACACACACGCACGCGCGCGCGCGCGCACTGCTTAAAGAACAGTGCTTAGGGAAATTCTCCATTTATTGAGTGTCACTGAAATTGTGCAATATCTTTGCTGTTTACTTTTGTTTGGGATAGCCATCATGGTGGGTATGGCTGTACATTGGAGGAGCAGAAAAGATATGCTTGTGGCAATCAGAAAGTTTGAAGGTTTTTCAAGTTACAGAAAAATGGACCTGAATGCATCTGAGAGATACAAACCAAAACCACAAGATATCACTTCACATCCATCAGGATGACTACTATCAAAAACAAAACAAAACAAAAAATAAAACAGGTGTTGGTGAGGATGTGGAGAAACTATAACCCCTGTGTACTCTTGATGGGAATGTATGATGCAATTACAATGGAAAACTGTATGAAGGTTCCTCAAAAAATTAAAAAACGAACTACCATGTGATCAGTAACCTACTTCGGGTATAAATTCAAAATAACTGAAAACACACCTATGTTCGTAGCAGCGCTATTCACAACAGCCAAGAGGAGGAAGCAACTCAAGTGCCCGCTGATGTATGAATGGATAAACAAAATGTGGTACAGACACGTAACAGAATATCCTTCGGCTTTAAAAAGGAAGGAAATACCGTCACATGCTACAACATGGGTGAACCTTGAGGACATTATGTTACGTGAAATAAGCCAGCCACAAAAAGAAAAATACAGTATGATTCTACTTATATGAGGTATCTTTAAGCAGCGAAAGTCATAGAAACAGAAGTAGAATGATGGTTATTAGGGGCTGGGGGGAGGGAATGTGGGTAGTATTGTTCAACGGACAGAGTTTCAGATTTGCAAGATGAAAAAGTTCTGGACATCTGTTTCAGCACAACATAAATATATTTAACACTACTGAACTGTATACTTAAAAATAGGTAAGAAGGTAAATTTATGTCATGTGCTTTTTAAATCACAATTTTAAAAAAAGGCCCCGGAAACACTGAAGTGTGTGCGGCTGGCGCTGCGTGTGATGTCAAACCGGTTGCAAAAAGTGCACGGCAGCCATTTCTGGAGATACCAGCTACACAGAGAAGTTTCCAGACACAGAGCTTATCCTGCTTATGTGTGAGTTTCACAGAAGATTCTGAGCATTTTGCTAGTTAGCTATCAAGGATTTGTTAGATTCCTCTCAACGGTACCTTCAATTAAGAGATGCGCACATAGTTTTCCAACTTGCGGGGGTAACGGTGGGTGGCCCTCCTTCCTTCCGAAGGAACGTGGGGAAACTAGGTGCTGAGCGCCCAGGACTGAGGCTGAGATTTTGAGGAAGAAGCTCCACTCTGGTTAGGAACAGCCTCTGTGTCCAAGTCTAACAATGGCTCGATTCTGGTTTCATGTTCTGAAAAATGTGCTCTGGGGATGGGAGGTGCCCCGCCAGGCCGCCCACTGTAGCAGCATCAACAGAAGAGTCTGTGTTTGACATGGCGGCAGCTCAGTGTCCAGGTGCCTCAGGTCTGGAGGGACACTGGGCAGAGGGCACAGCCCCAAGGGCCACTTCAACAGTGCCCCATCCAAGGGAGTTGGGGATCAGGAACAAAGGGATCGTGGCTGCAGCCTTACTTCCAGCTCGTCGATAGGACTCTCAAATTAAGTGTCAATTTTTTCCTGGAAGTAGGCGTATCAGAACAAATAAAGTTATTAAAATAATAAAATCATGCAAAGCTGAAATACACCGTCTCAGGAAGCAGCATGCTCTCCTGACACTGAAGGATTCAAGGTGAACCAATCACTTACTTGGAATGTTACAAATGAGATGGAGGCATCGAATAACAGATTGAACGAGGACCTTTAAGGTCCCTTCTAATCCTGAGAGCTGAAGCCTGTATAACGTCTGTCCTCCGCAGCCCCTGGCATTCACAGAACTGCTTGGCCTTCCTTTCAGGACACTGCCTTTCAGTATGACTCTCGCTCCCTGCCCCCTCCAATCTCCCCAAGAGAGAATGAGAGCACCTGGAGGGCTGAGGTTTGTTTTGGTCTGGTTCACCACCGTGTCCCCAGAGCCTAAAATTCACAACCTATGCTGTTCAGGATGGAGATCACATTTGTTTCTGTTCCTAAGCATTGCATGGTTTCTTCTTTTTCTTCTTCCCAAGAAATGTACTTATGTGAAAGGTATTACATCACAACCCACTTCCTAGAGAAGGTATACAGATTTAAAGATGACATTACTAATTCATATGAAAACACCTAAGCATCTAAAAGTCACTCTGGGGTCGCTTGGGGGCATCTGGCTGGCTCAGTCAGTAGAGCATGCAACTCTTTTTTTAAAATAAAGTTTATTTATTTATTGGGGGGGGGGGGGGGGGAAAGAGAGAGAGAGAGAGAGAATATCCCAAGCAGGCTTTGCACTATCAGCACAGAGTCCAACACAGGGCTCAATCCCATGATACATGAGATCATGATCCGAGCCAAAATCAAGAGTTGGACACTTAACCAACTGAACCACCCAGGCACCCCTAAAGCATGCAACTCTTGATCTCCAAGTTGTGAATTCAAGCCCCACGTTGGGCATAGAGCTTACTCCAAACAATCAACCAATCAATCAACAAATAAACAAACAAACTAAAAGTCACTCAGACCAAGTTCCCAGAACAATGCCAATATTCTCTAATCATGGCATGTTTTACAAGTAGGGAGCATCTTGATTATTGACAGAGATCAAAGAAAAGCAAAATGTTACCTGGATGACCAGTGATTTGGAATCCCTTAAAGAGCCACCTGCTGTTTTAGATAATGGCTTTCCTTTTATTTTGCATTCTTTTGAAAATGTTTTCAAGGTGTCTTCAAATTCAGCAAAATCTAAATACTATAAAAAAGAACATAAGTGTATATACATTTCTCTATTTTAACATCAACAAAGTAACTGCCTTTGAAGTAACTATACCAGCTCCGTGTTATCACCAATTCATAACGGGGCTAATCTTTGGGAGAATTTGGGATCCAGCTTACAATTTACTGGATTGGTTGACACACGTGCCAAGAGCCTAGAAAGACAGTATCACAGAACATGCTTATTTACAGAAAATAAATTTGTTTTCAGGGAAAAAAAAGTGAGCTGCACGATTCATTACCATTATTAATAGAAACAAAATGATGTGTGCAGCAGCCTGAAAAAGGCAAAGGTGATCTTCAGAAGGCCTGATGGCTCTGGGTCTAGTAGGTCTCTGGGAATCTGCTACTTGAAGCAGGCACTAGAAATGCCTGTCCTTAAGAACAGAAGATAAAAGATGGGCAATGTCGGCAGTGACCTTGGAGCACGGCACTAAAGCTCACTGCCTGTCTAGAGACACCTTCCCCACCATGTACTCTACCGTTGTTCTCCACACTCCTCTGCCCTCCTTCTCAGTTTGTGGCAGTCACCTCCTGCCACCTCCTCGGGGTAGGCTACTTCCCCAGGTCCTGTCCACAACCCATTGCTGTGATGGCTTTAAGAATTTATTCATGAGATGGGGCGCCTGGATGGCTCAGTCGGTTGAGCGTCTGACTTTGGCTCAGGTCATGATCTCACGATTCATGGGTTCGAGCCCCGCGTCGGGCTCTGTGCGGACAGCTCAGAGCCTGGAGCCTGCTTCGGATTCTGTGTCTCCCTCTCTCTCTGCCCCTCCCCCCGCTCATACTCAGTCTCTGTCTCACAAATAAATGTTAAAAAAATTTTTTTAATAAAAAATTTTTTGAAAAAATAATTTATTCACGAGCACACCAAAAAATGACTAAGCTTCATTTCCGGGAGAGATGCCTTGCTCCCCTGCCGTGGCTCGCGGTGCCTACTGGACGGTTAATCACAGAATAAAACAGCAGCTGCGGTTTCTTTAGCACCATCGACGTGCTAGCCCCGTGCTAAAAGCAGTAGAGAATATATAAAAGCACAGGGTGTGGGTCCTGTCCTTCAAAAGCTTTCATTGTAGGAAGCCTAAATGTCCATTCATAGGTAACAAGTTAAGTAGACGCGGCCACTCAATTTGAAATATTCGACAGCATTAAAAAGTACGAGGCAGATCACAGGAAGGCAGTCACACTACACTACTGTGGGTGGAGAAAAGCCAAGCTTCAGAACAACATGTACGACAGCATACTCCATTTTGTAAAGCAAACTATAGACATGTACATGTATTTTGCATATTCACTGAAAAAAAGTCTGGAAAAATATACTAACCCATTAACAGTGGTCGCTGCAGGAGTGGAACAGGGTAATGAACTTTTTATATTTCCACATTGTTTGCATCTTTACCATGAGCACGTTACTATTATAATTTTCTTTAAAGAAATCTTTTCAAGTGACTTTAAGATTTCAATTTAGTTATGAAAACAAAAAATACATATATAATGGAAAACAGGTAACTCTAATGTAAGGATAGAAAACACATTTATTATAAGACACTATAAAATGTGTTGCATTATAAAACATGAGTTTTCAAGATCTTTTTTTCTGTGACCTGTGTGTGGTAAAACATACCTCTTTCACTAGTGCAAGTAATTCTGATTCGTGAGCCAGAACATCCCCCATATTGAACGGTTACTGTTAATTCTCAAGGCAGCAAAAATCTCTACAAGGCAAAAGCAGAAGATAAAAGCTTTCACTACAATCATCTGTGAAGTCATAAAAAGGTGGCTGTGGTGGGCAGAATAATGGTCCCCCATCCTAACCCCCGGAGCCCCTGACTATGTCGAGTTGCACATGGAATTAAGGTTGCTAATCAGCTGACCTTAAAATAAGGAGAGTGTCTATGATTACCTGGTGGGCCCAGTGTAAGCACCATGATCCTTATAAGGAGACAAGAGGGTCAATGTCAGAGTGATGCACTGCTGGCCCTGAAGATGGAGAAGGGACCCCACACCAAGGAGTGAGTGCAGGCAGCCTCTAGAAGCTCGAAAAGGCAAGGAACAGACTCTCCTCCGGAGCCTTCAGAAATGAACAAGCCCTGGGCCGCCCGGTGGCTCAGTCAGTCAAGCGTCCGACTTGGGCTCCGGTCACGAACTCCCAGTTTGCAAGTTCAAGCCCCACATCGGGCTCTGCGCCGTTAGCATGGAACCCGCTTTAGATCCTCTGTCTCCCTCTCTCAAAAATAAACATTAAAAAAAAAAACAAAACGAACAAGCCCTGTGAACACCTGGATTCTAGCCCAGGGAGACCCATTTTGGGCTTCTGACCACCAGGTCACTAATTTCATGGTAACTTATTACAGCACCACTAGGAAATACAGAGGCTAAAGTCCGACGTAATTCCTTCTTCTATGACAACTACTTAAAATGAGTGTGAACATGGGCTAGAAGGCAGTGTAAATGAGGATCAAGGCTTGCTAATGAGATTGGGGATGATTATTTTTCTAATGTGCCATAGTGTGGTATATGTAATTCAAACGATCAAGACCACAAAGTACATTTTAGAACAAAACAAAATTTGATAAGATTCATTCACTTAAGAAGGACATGCATTAAAATTAATCTAATATAAATAAACACAGAGTCACCAATTCCTCACACAGCCTCCAAGTAAAAAATAGTAATCGGGGGCACCTGGGTGGCTCAGTTGGTTAGGTGTCCAATTCTTTTTTTTTTTTTTTTTAATTTTTTTATTTTTGAGACAGAGAGAGACAGAGCATGAGTAGGGGAGAGGCAGAGAAAGAGAGAGAGACACAGAATCCGAAGCAGGCTCCAGGCTCCGAGCTGTCAGCACAGAGCCTGACGCGGGGCTCGATCTCACGGACTGCAAGATCATGACCTGAGCCGAAGTCGGACGCTCAACCGACTGAGCCACCCAGGCGCCCCTAGGTGTCCAATTCTTGATTTCGGCTCAAGTCATGAGCTCGCGGTTGTGAGATCGATCGAGCCTTGCATTGGGCTCCATGCTGGGTGTGAAGAAGCCTGCTCAAGATGATCCCTCTCCTTTTCTCTCCCTCTCCCTCTGCCCCCCCACTGCACATGCACACCCATTCTCTTAGAAAGAAAGAAAGAAAGAAAGAAAGAAAGAAAGAAAGAAAGAAAGAAAGAAAGAA